AATCCACCCCAAGACCCCCAAATTCCCTCCCAGGATCCCAAAATCCCCCAAAAATCCCACCCAGGGACCCCAAAATCCCCCGAAATCACCCCAAAATCCCACCCGGGACCCCCAAATTTCCCCCTGGACCCCCCAAAATCCCCTCCCCCACCTCCATCCTTTGCTCCTCAGGATCCTCCCGAGCATCTTCTCCACCCTGCGGGAATTTGGGGCAAATTTGGGGGATTTGGGGTTTTTTGGGGCAGGAATTTTGTTTTTTGGGGGATTTTTCGGGTCTGGATATTTTTTGGGGGGAGAATTCGGGGCCGGGATTGGGGATTTTTGGGATTTTGGAGGAGTTTCGGTGATTTTTTGGGGTTTTTTTGGGTTTTTTTTGGTGATTTTGGGGAGGTTTTGGGCTGATTTTTGTGACTTTTTGGTGTTTTTTTGGTGATTTTTTGAGGAGGATTTTGGTGGTTTTTGGGGGGAGATTTTTGGGGGTTTTTGGTAATTTTGGGGGGATTTTTGGTGACTTTTGGAGGGTTTTTAGTAATTTTGGGGGGATTTTTGGTGATTTTGGGTGGATTTTTGGGGATTTTTGGTAATTTTGGGGGGATTTTTGGTGACTTTTGGAGGGTTTTTAGTAATTTTGGGGGGATTTTTGGTGACTTTTGGAGGGTTTTTAGTAATTTTGGGGGGATTTTTGGTGACTTTTGGAGGGTTTTTAGTAATTTTGGGGGGATTTTTGGTGACTTTTGGAGGGTTTTTAGTAATTTTGGGGGGATTTTTGGTGACTTTTGGAGGGTTTTTAGTAATTTTGGGGGGATTTTTGGTGACTTTTGGAGGGTTTTTAGTAATTTTGGGGGGATTTTTGGTGATTTTTGGGGTTTTTTGGTAATTTGGGGACAATTTTTGGTGATTTTTGGTTTTTTTTGGTAATTTTGGGGCAGATTTTTGGTGATTTTTGGGGATTTTTGGTAATTTGGGGGGATTTTTGGTGATTTTTGGGGTTTTTTGGTAATTTGGAGACAATTTTTGGTGATTTTTGGGTTTTTTTGGTAATTTTGGGGGGATTTTTGGTGACTTTCGGGGCGTTTTTAGTAATTTTGGGCGGATTTTTTGTGATTTTTGGGGTTTTTTGGTAATTTGGGGAGGATTTTTGGTGATTTTTGGGGTTTTTTGGTAATTTTGGGGGTATTTTCGGTGACTTCTGGGGTTTTTTAGTAATTTTGGGCGGATTTTTGGCGATTTTTGGGGTTTTTTTGGTAATTTGGGGAGGATTGTTGGTGATTTTTGGGGTTTTTTTATAATTTGGGGGGATTTTTGGTGATTTTTGGGGTTTTTTGATAATTTTGGGCGGATTTTTGGTGATTTTTGGGGTTTTTTGATAATTTTGGGCGGATTTTTGGTGATTTTTGGGGTTTTTTGATAATTTTGGGCGGATTTTTGGTGATTTTTGGGGTTTTTTTATAATTTGGGGGGATTTTTGGTGATTTTTGGGTTTTTTTGGTAATTTAGTGGGAATTTAGGGATTTTTTTTTGATTTTTGAAATCAGGATTGAATTTTTTAGGATTTTTTGGGGTCTGGCAGGGCAAATTTGGACTTTTTTGGGGGCAATTTTTAGATTTTCAGAGCATTTTTGGACCCAGGATTTGGATTTTTCACCTTTCTGGGGTCGGGCTTTTTTTGGGGGGGAAGATTTTTGGGGGAATTTGGGGGATTTTTGGGGTCAGAGCTGCGTTTTTAGGGGGTCAATATTGGATTTTTTTGAGGGATTTTGAAGCCAAAATTGGAATTTTGGGGGGTTTTTGGGGTCGGGATTTTTTTGGGGGGGGCATTTTTGGGGTCCGGGGAGGTTTTTTGGGGGTCTGGGGAGGTTTTTTGGGGGTCTGGGGAGGTTTTTGGGGGTCCCACCCCGTACCTGGCCGAGGCTTCGGCCGCGTCGAAAAGCGTCACCCCCAATTCGTAAGCGGCGCTCAGCACCTGCTCAGCCTCCTGGGAAACCCAAAATTTGGGGAGGGGGAGTCAGGGAGGGACCCCCAAATCCGGGGGGGGGCACCCCCAGACTCCCCCAAAAAAGAGGAGTCCCAAAAATGAGGAAAAAAACCCCAAAAAAAGAGAAAAAAACGGCAAAAAACGGGTGGGAAATGCCCCAAAAAAGGGAAAAAATAACAAAAATAAGGGGGGGGACCCCAAAAATTGAAGGGACCCCCCCCCCAAAAAAATGGGGGGGATGCTGAAATTTTGGGGGGGGGTCTCACCTCCTCGGAGGTCCCGGCCCCGAAGGTCCCGCGGGCACCTGGGGGGGGAAATTGGGGATGAAGAGAAAGGGACCCCCAAAAACCCCAAATTCCAGCCCAAAAACCACTCAGGGACCCCAAAATCCCCCAAAATCCCCCCAAATTCACCCTAAACCTTCCCCAACGCCCCCAAATCCCCCAAATCTCCCCCAAATCCCCCTAAAAATCCCTCAAACGCTTCCAAAATCCCCTGAAACCCCCCAAAATCCCCAAAATCTCCCTTAAATTCTTCACAAAATCGCCCAAAGTCCCCAAAATTCCCTGAAATCCTCTGAAGTCCACCCAAATCTCCCCAAAAATCCTCCCCAAATCCCCTAAATCTCCCAAAATTCCCCCAAATCCTCCCCCAAAACCCCTGAAATCCTAGAAAAATCTCCCAAAAATCCCAAAATTCCCCCCAAAATCC